AGGGCAGCAGCCGAGCCCCCAGGGGAGCAGCAACGATGACTTCGTGGGGAAAACAGCTCCGTAACTGTCAGCCGTGCTGCCGCAGGAATGGAAACCGAAACTCGGGGCTTTCGGCTAGGTGTTTGTTTGTCTAAAATCGGCAAATCCTCGGTTTCGACTCTCCCCCGCCTTGGAGCTGTGGATGTGGTGACGCAGCTTTGCCTCCTCCCTGCTCCGGCAGCGGCTTCCTGCACTCTGCTGCCAAGGATGGAGGGACAGCAGCTCTGGCTTCTCCCTGGGCTGCTCCGCTGCTTCTGGCACTTTTTTGTGTGTTGAGCAGGGCCGGAAGCTTTGTATAATAGAGTGAAAGCTGTTTGCTCCTGGAGCTGGAGGGAAAACAATGAGTTAAATCAGTGAAACCTCCAGATATCCCACCTGTAAAACCCGAGTGAAGCCTCAGTGCCAAGGTTGCTCTGCCTGGGTGAGCTAGGCACTGCCCATCCTGGCTCGGGCACCTCGGGGAGATTGTTCCAGGTATTATGTTTGTTTTTCACTGATACTGCCTGAGCTGTCACAGAGACCTTTGTTGTGATTTAGAGTCAGGGCTGCATAAAGGACAATTCCTGCCCACAGACCATACCAAGTGGGGTTGGGCTTCATTGCTGTGGAACACACTTACACCAGGACTGGTACTGGAGCTGATGCCTTTCCAAACCCTTCAGCCTCACTTGGCTCCAGGGCTTCATCCTCACAGGGGAAGGGATCATTCCTTCCCCGGTAGGGATGGGGCCCTGATGCTGCCCAAACTATTACAGTTCTCATGTCAGCTTCAAGGACAAAACTGGGAAGCCCTTTCCTGGGCTGCTGAGCATGAGTGCTCCATGGGGTCAGCTCCTGCTGTGGGGCTGAGCTCCCTGCTGACAGGACATGGAGCAGAACTAAGCCTGGCAGCTGTGGTGCTGTGCAGGTGGCTGTGCCACCACGGGTCCAGCAGTGCCCAGGGTGTTGGTGCATGGACCAGGTGGGTTTGCCCAGGATCACCTGGTTCCCATGGTCACCCATCACTCCAATGGGATCCAATTCAGCACCCACAGGCTGGGGCTGCCCCTCCACAGTGGGAAAGTCCTGTTCCCTCAGGGTTCCCCTGGGTGCTGCTGCATGGGAGCAGGATAGGGCCTCCCTCTGAGCACCCAATGGCTGTGACCTCGCAAAGCTGGAAGGTCAAAAACATTATTGGTCTTCCTCCTTTTGCTAGTGTTGACAAACATGCCAGAAACCAGACCCTGCCCCTCCTTCCTCCTCTGCTCCACTCCTGGTGGCATGACCCGTGAGCTGGCTCTCTCGACATTTCCTCCTCCCTCCTGCTTGTTTCAAGGACCAAGTTTGCTTTCCGTGGCCAAGACTGGCTTTGTGTTGAGGTGGCACCACCAAGCACGACGTGCCTATCGCTCAGAGGGATTGAACAGGACTGCTGTCGGTTGGGAAACTTTGCCTCTGCTGCCTG